CGGAGTTGAGAATAAATAGAATAATTTTAATTAAACATGTTCAACAATCAAACAGAACATTGTAAACCAAAGAGAAATCATTCTTTCCCGGACATGAACGTGCGAATTGCCGCCTCTAATTTCTACATTATTAACCCTTGCCTCCGATCATTTTTGCGCCTTTTATCTTCTTGCCTTTACGTTCACTTCTTACATCGACGCCAAGCCAAGGAGCAACAGTTTCTTTCATCTCAACTCTATCAGCTTCGTCTTCTACCGGCTGCTTTGCTTCCTGCCGCTACCAGGTACAAAGTTGCGTGGTGGTTGCTTGTTGTCCCGCGGCTTTTCAAATTATATGTTCAACTTATCTTCCCTGCCCCCGTCTCGCCCCGGGGATTTTCCGACACGGCAGGTCACAGGGGTATAAGAGGGGATTCCACCCTAAAGATTCCACGGCGTATCGGAGACGAGCACTTCTCTCATTCCCTCGTCAAAGGTACGAGGACTTTATTAAGCGCCGAAAGAAGCGCATGATTCGATTCGATTTCTACGCGATCCAGCCAATCTCTTTGACGAGCGATTATTTGATGTTTTTCTTAGCGAATGCTACGGAACGGAGGCCATATATTTGAGAAGACGTTACACATCATAGAACACTGTAATATTTTACCTTATTTAACTTTTATGATGGCGATGATATTTTTGTAAGACTTTCTGATTAATTCTTTAATCGCCGAAATTTTTTTTTATTGAATTTTGCTAATATAATTGAATATACATGCATTCAATGGCATTTCTTTAGTAACATATTTTTGTGTCATTTAAATATTGAAAATTTCGTCATCCGTTCACGCTTTATACGTGTATCGGAGTGCTTCAAAGAGGATTAAAGGGCCAAGGTGATGCGTCTCGCTTGCCGTTCGAAAATTATCTTGACAGCCTTTCGAATCATGTCACAACGTGGTATCGACGATAGCTCTGTCCAAGGTCCTTCGCGAAGGGATTAAATTGATAGTGGCCAACGCGAAAGCGCATACATTGTCGCGATAATAGGAGGATTCGAAACTTCTTCCATCGAATAAACCTTTCCATCTAACCTTCGCCGTAAACCACGACGATGCATTTAATTCCCTCGTACTTGAAAATCTTTACCACGACGTTCTTCCAACTACCCGTCCTCCTCCTACGAGACTATTCGCCCTCTTATGTACTTTTTACTTTTTCTTTAATGGATACTTTTTGCATCATTCGTATAACATTAGAACCGTCTATATTGAAACGCATGCATTAATTTCCACGCACATTCAGGACAGCTTCAAAGAAACTGCTCCGGAGTAATATACGAAAAATGATAATTTTATGTTGAGTTTACGCAAGCTGCTAATTGCATATATAGCTTTTTATATATATAGTAATATATTTAATATATCCTGTGAGAAAACCAAAGATTCATGTTACGCGATGGCAGAGGAAAATATAGAGAATGGCAAAGAAAACCGGCGTCTTTTAACAGTGACATTAAAGCCGAACTCGATTTTTTACCGTACAGTTTTGCGGCCTCTTTAACACCAACATAGCGTTATATGCTTAATGTTTATGGCAACGCAATCTGGCGCACAGACCAGACTGACGGATATTTTATATTTTATATTGTCACCTACAAGAAAGAAGAAGAAAAAGAGAGAAAGCGAGTTCTTTTAGATGCGAAATGAAACAAAAATTTACATATATGTGTAATACTCTTTCGATTAATTTGCTTCAGCATTTATCATTTAAAAAGATCAATCATTTGTGGTGTCGGCTTTATTTCTTTGTAATTTACTTGTTATAATACATATATAAAAAAATCTTGTCAAACTTTTAATTTATTAATTAAAGTACATATGTATTTAGAATAGTAACGTTAATCCGAATTAATTTCATACATTCAGTAATTGTAAGAGGTTAATATCGATAGTGGAATTATTCACAAATCGCCGAACCGTTTGAAAAGAGATCGGCAAGCATATCGTTCAACTTAATTTAATTTGGCACGCGTTGAGAAATTCGCAGATACGCTTTGTCGGCGCTTTGCGGCGTGATCGATTAGATCGTCACGCGAGAGAATTCGGATTGGCCGTTGAATTCTTCAGCTCGCTCGCTGCCCGAACACGTTCTGCCTGTCGAGTCGCAATGCACGATCGCGCAAAAGAGATTTAATTAATACAATTGACCCGAAAGCGGTCGCTCTCTTGCCGGTCGCCTTGCAATTTCAATTTCTCTTTCGGAATGCGCACTACCGAGCGTGAAATCGACCAAGTCGGGTGTTATCGTCGTCTTCGTCGTCGACGCCTGGATTAAACGCATTTTCCAAATTCCGTAACTCGCGACGGACTCGTAAATTGTCCTTTGACACGCGCTTTGGCGACAGACAACTTCTTTCGTTCCATGAAAAGTTAAAAACCTATAATACCTTGGCTGCATAATTCGAAGATAATGCATTTAATCGCTAATAATTTTACATCTCTTATTTGACTGATCGGGCAGATATGTGAGCATATCTGTCTGGGGCGAAAATATTCCAGAGTGACTGTCGATACAGACGTGTTGCGTGGGATCGAAATCAAATGCGTATTTCAATCGTTCGGCGAAATCGATTAGTATCCAGAACATACTAAAAAATACATGCATGCCTGTATACGTATGTGCAAATCCGGTAATTAAACCTGTCATTGCACTGAGACACAGCAGAGAGCGTAACCGACAAGCTTACTTGTCGCTTTACGTAAACCATTTAGAAACGACATTTTTGTCCCCCGACTCGCGCGCGTCCTTCTTCCTTTTTTTTACACCCTCCGCCCTAATAATACTCGTGTCACCGGCAGGCGCATTAACGTGCGCTTTCCCTTAAATAATACTCTACAGGAGAGCAAGAAAATGCACGTCAGTCTGTTCAAAACGGCCGTTGGTTCGCGCTCGCGTAGACTTAATTAATGCAAGCTTCGCAAAAATTTTATTATTAGAAATTTTAATAAGTAACACTTTCTCGCGATAAACTTGCGCCTAATTATTTGGCAATTTCCTTCGAAAAATGAAGTAAATGGATACCGCAAAAATAAAATCAATGTACACATTTAGATTGCTAATTCAAACGGTGTAGAAAATCTCTATCAACTTTCATGTTCAAATATAAAATGCGAGTTTATTTGTATTTTGTAAAAATTTAATCGATGTTGGATTCAAATCAGTAGTTTTGTTGTAATATTTGATAGTATTGATCGATAGATTTGAGTATGACTATATCGTTTACTTTAATCTTTCCCTTGTTAAAGAAGAATTCTGGTGTATTCCACTGATTCTTTGTTATATCCGAGATTCTTCTCGTACACGGCGATTCACGAGAAATGAGCCGTATCAAAGTTTCCAAATTGAATTGTAACGAATGGTTACACAAAGCATTCCCTTTCAACATTATAAAACGTATGACAAATAAATTTGACTTGCGCTAAAACGTATGACAATATGCATTTTTTTCAGTATTCATTATGAGCACATTCTAGTAATTCCAATTATTGACTGATATAAAAAAAGATAAAAAGTAATTTAAAACATTGTAATTTATTTTAATTTCAGTTTTTTATTGAATTTTTATTGTATATTATTAACACTTAAAGTAAGCGTCACACAAAAAAATATACAATTTAAATGCATTGATAGTGATAGATAATTGACGTTTTTCTTTTGATAATAAAGAAATATAATTCATCATCAGTACTCATCCTCGTGGCATCAATCGTGGAGATTTCACGAGTCTTGGTCACTTTATCGAGCAATGATCATCCCGTAATAAGAAGTTATAGCATTTCTAGGTATATAAGTAAGTGCAAAAGTATCCTTATTTTTAATTTTCTTAATAGCTATATCGATTGGTTTGTGCCGACAAACGTAGAATCAAGGTTGTATGTACTATACATGTATAAATGTTTATATACATATATGCATGTATATGAGTAAGTATACGCGCGCGCGCACGCGTGTGTGTGTGTGTATGGACGGATAGGTAGGGTGATATAATCGAAAAGGATGACGTGCAAGTGGGATAAAGAGAGAGCGAGAGCGGGAATGACTATACCATGTAGCGCAAAAGAGGACGAGGTAGATATCAATCATAGAGGGTTTAGGCCTGTCAAGCCACACTGACTACGCACGACGATAAAGACACCGAAATCGAGCGACGCAGACTCTGCAGGCGCTTTTACCTTCGTTCTTTAAACTTTAAAGAGAAACAAGTTGTACCGTCCATCGCGGATGTCTCTTTTTTTTATTGCAAGAACGCGCCACGACGTCGCTGCGCGTGAGTGAACGCAAAATGTTCCACACGATTATCACTCGTAAAAATGCGTGTGTTGCATAATAGTCCGACATCAAGATAATACAACTTTATGTTAGATTTATCCTTGCTTAATATAATAAAAAAGACATTCGTTTCTCTTCATTTTAAGCTTATACTTTCGCAGAGATCAGTGATTTCGCGTAGCTTTCCTCTCCACTAAGTTTCGGATTTACGGTCGGCTTCGCAAATGATTTCGGTAGACTCGGTATAAATCGCGTATCATATTTACCGAGTTTACAAGCCGTATACTCGCGGTAGATGTTTTATACGATGCGGTTTTGCGTGCACGGTATTCCTTGCCTTGTGGAGGAACTTGGGACGGGCCAGAGAACTTGAAGGAGAATAGAATGGAAAATAATAACTTTTTCATTTAGCGAGCGAGCGAGGCATTACCGCGATATAAGCGCGTGGTTGCACAATAAAACTAAGGCGACGTCATTGTCGACGACGATGCTCTGTCGTGCGTCGTACGTCCTCGTAGATCGTACGTCGCGTTTTATCTTTCTTTCGGAAGAAGTTACCGTGATATCGAATGTATTATTGCATGTGTGTGTGTGTGTGTGTGTGCGCGCGCGCGCACACACACACACACACACACATATATGTATATCGCATGTATATCAAGATTTTCGTTCTTTTTCTGTTACAGGAAGCTTTTGATCTAAAGTCCAATAAACAGGATCGATGTTAACTCAACAAATCTGCCATCACGCTGCTTCGGCTCGTTCTGATGTTTTTTCCTGGTCCTGTAAGTTTTTACGTAAAAAGATCAATTATTATTGCGATTTGATAATGACATAAGAAATTGTCAAAATATTGTTGATAATCTACTGTTTATATGTTTCTCTAACTCATTTCAAAGCGCTTGCGCTTTGTACATCTATTATTCAAATATTTGCGGATAAATTATTTTATTTGCACGCGTAAATAATAAAAAGGAATCTCTTTAATTGATTAATAACGAAGAAAGCAAAAATATATACGAGTACAAGTACAAGAAGAATTTGAGACAAATTATTTTGATCCAAGATATTTCGCTTTGTTTATATATATTTTTTATATGCTACTCTTTGCAACATTTTTGTCATACTTATGCTCTATATGATAATAATTGTCTGTCGAGTAATGAATAGGGATAACAGTAATAATAGTGTAACCTAGATTTGCACTCGTCTTTGTAATATATTTTGCCGCGTTGTATGCATGTATATAGGGTGTGTTGATAGTAAATAAAATAGAAAACATTGTAAAAAGATCGATCGTTATGAATTAGAATGTTTAAGGGTTAAATTTACAAGAACTTTTCATGCGATAATTAAATCAGCATACCTTGGCAAGCATAACTTGCCGAGAAGCCTATGTCCACAGACCATAAACGTGATCACTATAAACGAAACGTTAATTCTAGAGATTGTTTTGTAGATAAACGAGACAATTCGCTCGTTTTTATTGGCGAATTGAAACACTACGATGACTGCGACGTGAACGTTACCGATATCGATCTGGCAAACTTCTGATCCACCCTGTAGATCGGTGTGTATACGATGCAACGCGCAATATCCAAGCTACCTGTCGGCCATCAACGTCTTCGTACGATTTATCGTGACGTTACACGCGAGCCTTTCCGCCTACACCCTTCCGCCTTTCCGCCGGAAAACTTTTTCAATTCGTGTCGGTTTCACCTATTAGCGTCGCGCGAATTTGCCTGGCTATTAATCCTACTTCAGACCTTTCGCCTTGCGCGCATATTCACCGGAAAGGCTTCGGGTGTGGATTCACGTGCGTGATATTTGTGACATCTCAACAGGTCGTGTGTTGCGCGTTTCTTTTTTCCTTTTCCGTTCACAGAAGCATAATGCTCGTGTTGGTCATGTACCTATCCAACCTGGAATTTGTTTATCTGAAATGATATATCGAACACGAGAAGGACAAATAAGTTAATATCGAAATGTAACAAAACGTAACATTTGAAATTGCGAACTTTTGAATGATCATATAAAAGAACATAACTAAGGCGAAAAATAGTTTTTGTCTTATATTTTCGATCTGAAATTTATTTTAGGCACATGGCATACTGAATTAATTAATTAATTAATCAGCAGACATATAAATTGTGCCTTTTTTGTTTATTCGCTGCAACTAAATATATTTCTGTTACAATACGCTCGCGTTACCGGTCGAACTTGTTTGTGCACTTTACGAAATCGAAAGAGTAATTGGAATTGGCACGTATGAGCGTGATCAGGGGTAAACGGGCAGCGCCAGCCGAAATTAATTTTCCCGATGAGAAATAATCCCTCAGATTGCGAGGAGTCGATTCCCCGACCGCATGTACGCGGCATTAATACATCCACGTGCGCCGCAGTTTGCTATGCACAAAGGGCGAAGGGTGCGCGGCGCGGTCGGCGAGGTAGTAGAGATATTAATGCCACCGATTAATGCTCTAAACGTTACGTTAATCGCCATTAGCCGTTCGCCGTTCGAACGGTCGAACTGTGCGTAGATCAACATTGTTTGCCGATCACATACGTGTCGTGAGCGCGAGCGCAGCTGGCGACGCGAAACGCGCCTATGCTCGCGAATGTAAGCGTGCCGCGGGCATCCGACGTTGTGATCACGTTCCGTTCGTATTATAACGAATTACCGCCGATGATGAAACACCGTGGAAACGAGTGACAGTGATTAGTAAATGAGTTGTCGCTGTTTCAACGTCCCATTGCTGGCTGTCGTGCAACGTGAGCTGTCAAACTCGCAAACGGATTAAGGCTTGTTACGCATGAATCGATCGAAGAACGTGATTTGTTCTTTTTGGAATGATTTATCCATTCCGAGAGCGCTTCTCGAGCTATGTTGATATTTTTAGTGCTGAGCATACATTTGTTGAAACAAAAAAAAAAATTTGAATTTTCTTTCAATTCGTTTCGTACGTGTTTATGTTTTAGGATTTTTTGGAGAAATTTTTATAAATAGTTTCTTTTACGTGGTTCGTAGATATTCGCAGATTGTTTCGATTTCAAAAAATGTTTCATTTCGCTTAAACTTACAATCACATATTCCGTTTATAATCATTGTAATTTTGTGATATATGTATAACAGTGACTCGATTATCGATTGCGAAAAATCACGTTCGACGCGGAATTTCGTCAGTGCGAGATTTGAAAATTTAATTGAAATCCCCGACAGGATTAAAAGTAAGCGTTGTTTGTTATTAAATAATATCGCGCGCGATACGCCGTGTTAATATTGACATTTGACGATAGGCTACGCGGACGTGCGTAACATCAGATTAACGTTGCAGTGTGAAAACGCGTAATCGATATGGTTGCCCCAGCATTTGCAACGATTTCACGTAGAGGCAAATGTTTCGGATACAACCAAGTGATATAAATTCACTTGGTTGTATCACGGAAGGATACCGAGCTTTACTGTTTTACAGCTTTACAGTTTTGCATCGATGTGATAAAACCACACACGTCCATGTGTGCATACATCTGTTTTTCTGTCTGCATAGTAATGAAATGTATTATATCCTATATACGTTTTAATGGAAAAATTTACTTGAGGTATGTGCAAAACATTCTATGTTTGAATGAAATTATTTCCAATAAACATGACAAATGCAAATAAGAAACCTCTGCAAAGTTAGCATTTTTCAAGATTCAGATATAATCGATATAATTCTTATTCTTCTTCGAACAGCTTTAAAAATTTCCATGCCATGTTGAAAAAAAATCTTTATAATTTGGTGTAAAAATAAAAGATTTAATAATATCGCATGTCACAACTTGATGTTTTAATGTAAATGAAATTAAAGTTTAAATATTCATTATATTGGGGGCATGATTACATTCATTACAAATAGGCGTTAGTCTAATGACATGTCTGTCCAATTTAGTCATAAATTCCACTATGTCGACGAAATCGAGATTCAAACTCGATCGAATGTTATACTCGAATGATTCGCGAGTTGGGTTACACTTAATTACAAGAGATAGGTGCCAGGAAGCTTACACTTTCGTTGTGATTATGTGAAACTGTTGTTCTATTTATTTCTCTTGTTGAGTACACGATTACAAAACTTTTATAGAATATCTAAAATTAGATAACATACGTCGAATGTAGTCACTGCGCAGAAATGAGGAATCTATTTTGATGAATCATTATTTTTGGTAATTGACAATCGCACAAATAGTATGAATACCGATTTGGCGACGTCCGCTACATATTGCGCTACATATTGCGATAAGAGATTACGATATGGCTGCGCGTTTTCATTAATTTAATAACGCGACTCATAAACGTCCCGAGCGAAACTTTTAATTATAAATATTAATCTCGGGCGCGTTAAAGGCAAACTGCCCGGCGTGTTGTTAGAAAGTCGCCAAAGCACGAATTGTTGAAACGAAATTAACGCATATATACACGAGAAAGTCGGTCGCGTTTTAAACTTTTCAGCTGTACACAGCGAAGCAATACGAACGATATTTCATGCTAACGAAAGTGATCTCGCTAAACTTTTAATTGCGTCTAGGTAAAAATAAATAGCAGTGACAAATAATTTCACGCAATAATGATGAACTTGTCGCGCAAATGCAAATTGCAGAAATTAATTGCTGTGCTACGATTCAGAAAAGGATATTACTGCATTATCATGTATTACGATGTTCTGTATATATATTACTGCAATCTTGTGTATCTTGTACTCTATATAATTAATCGTTTAAGTTAATTAACCACAGGAACTAGATTCCAACGATACGGCAATTTGAAAATTGCCAACAGTACCGCAATCAATCATACTATGGTTGTGTATGGCCTATAGCGTAACTGCCAGCAGTTTATACATGCTGTTAATAAGTTGCGTTTCTCTTTCAACATGGCATTACTGTACGATATTAAATAGTGATGTCAAATTTTTGGGTAGAAAATGGGAGAGGGGACGGCAAGCTTAAATAGTTGATTATTAAACAATCATTCGTTTCTTATTTCGTATAAAGTCAATTGATGGCAATTTAAGTGTCTAGACAAAAACTAACAGAGTTTGATATTTGACTAGAGCGAAACGATAACAATTAAACGCGGACGACGGAACATCCTCCGGCGTGTTAAATCAGAATCAAAGCGACGCCCAATAGAGAGGCCGGCCAGCTGTGTTTTAAGCTTCTTACCCGTTCTACGGACGGCAACCCTCGATGGCGCGGCCCGCGGCCGGCAGTGAAATGTCAATCGACGAGTTACGCGCCCGCCGTCCACGAGCAATTTCGGGAAATGGTTTGGATCACGGCCTTTTAGCCCATGGCGAGGCGGACGAGTGTGTACGTAGGTGCGGGTTTGCGGTGCACGGGTGTAGATGTGCTGCATGCGCGGATGCGCGTGTGCGCGTGGTGAACGCGACGAAAGAGCCGGCCAAAGGGCCGGCCGCAGGCCGCCACACATTCGCGCGGGTGTACACACTTTCTCGCAGTGTGGCACAACGACGGGCTCTTTGCCCGGCTACGAACATCGCGCGACATACCGCGCGAAATTGCATTCAGAAAAGAGCTCGTCCATAGGTTACAACCGCCGACAATAGGTCACAATGGTATCGTACCGGTTTATCGGACCGCCGCGCTGCGCCGCACCGCGCCGCGCCGCGCGTCGTGTGTATAGGGTTACAACATGACGATTATGAGTGCCGGTCTCGGCACATATTACCGGAGTTACATACGAGCTTGTCGGTTAGTATACCTACCTACCTATATCTGTCAGATTGCGATTAGCGAAACTTCGTCACTGCACTTCTGTGCAGGATTTCTGGATATGCAGTTTATTGTCTTTACATATTCTTTCATATCAGGTAAAATATGATGCAATAATTAAAAAGGGTAGCCTGCAACAATACTTAATTCTTATGCTTTTGCAATACATATCATCTATTTGCATCTACAGATAGAAAATTGTATAATTTTATTTTACACCGTAATTTCACTTCTATGATCGCTTCAACAGCAAACGTTGACGCGTGTACATATGAATGAAATACTAGCCGACTGCGCGCAACGATCCTTTTGCGAAACGTCAGACTCATTTCATAACTCGCAAGAGTTCTACCACCGCTTTTTTATGTTTACATTTTATAAAACGCTTCTGAAATACGGGTCAACGGTTACGACTGCATAATATTTTTTTTATGAAGAGCGTATAAAATTCAGGTCAGCGTAAAAAATGAATAATTTCGTCATTGACTGCTTGAAATACAGCTAGACTTTACACTGATGTCATATATATATATATATACACACATCCACTATGTGTGTAAAATATACTAGTCATTGTTTTATTCGTAATCTGAAGACAATGAATAATAAAGAATAATAACTTGCATCAAGTCTCGAAGACAGAACTTTGTATATTATGCTATGCACACGTTTTCTCTCTTTTTCTGCTTAGATAATGAGATAATTGAAAGTTTCGAAAGAAAATTAAATTACAATTAATTAAGTTATAAATGTGGTATCGGGTGAATCCAGATGACGGTTGATTCATCGACTCCACTTTAAATGCACTAGTTTGGCAATCAGTTCGCTTTCTGTCGATTCGTGGTGACGCAAAATGCCAAGCATGATGATTTGCGCAGCACAAATCTGCATCCGACGAAGGGGAATATTTTCGGTGCTTGGTACATCCGCAGAATATTT